TCGTTTAATCAAAGTTTTGAATAGCTAATCAAAAAGAGAAGATACAGATCCAGAAAGAGATTTATAGATATGGAGCCTAAAGCTGAACCAATTAACATTATTAATTGAAAGATTGAGGTGTCATTCCAAGTGCCAACCCAAAAATAATGATCACCTGACTTTGCAGTCCCCCTCCACTCAACAATAGTGAGCTTCAATTCATTGTAGGGGCCAGAAACACAACTTCAAATTCCTGCTGATGCTGCTCTGTAACTAGGAAACTAAAGGATAAATATCGTAAAGTGATATTGTGTTAATGTCCTTGCCTGTTGTCAAAATCAGTTCAAATTTCTTTAAAGAATCAAACTTGGAAACACGTCCTTAACAAAATTGATCAAATTCCACTGTAAATTTGAGATATTGAGTGTGATTAAAAAGACTTGCATTCACCCAGATGTGGGCCCAGAGCTGCTGACATTTGCCTCACTTCATTCTCCGGGCCAAGTATGAAAATTCCTTTGCACTAACAAGGGCTCATTATTCGGGTCACTTCTGCATTGTGCTGGACACGTTTGGGTCTAATGATGAATTCATGCAGTGGTTACAGCAGGGACCGAGATACAATATCCAGCTGAATAAAGAAACCGAACATCTCCTCATAATGACGCCCAGTGGGAGATTCTCTTTGAGATATTTCTTTTATTCTGAAAGATGTCAGTATAAGTCCTCTCCGAGATTAGATAACTCATCTCTGTCAAAGTGTTGTTGTGTCAAGAGAGCACATGTCAGAGGTTGTGTGTCCGTCTCTACAGATGGTGGCAACGGTGGCGTGAAGACGGAGGAGGAGGAGGTGCGGGACTACCGGGTGAAGTGTTTGAACAACTTGGCCACCGTTCAGATCAAACTGGAGCAGTACCAGGAGGCGCTGAGCAGCAGCCGGGAAGTCCTGACCCTGGAGCCAAACAACGTCAAGTCCCTGTTCAGAGTGGGAAAGGTGCGGGCCCACGGGATGAGATATAATAATTATTGAGGAAGAACTAGCTGCTACATTATTGTTATCTGCCTGTTTATGTGTCTGTGTCTACAAACACTGCTCACACTGTTCAGTTTTCTTTTTCAGCTTTTGTCAGACATGGGTGAATACAAAGAGGCGATGGAGGTGCTAAAAAGGGCATTGAAACTGGAGCCAACCACCAAGGTGAGATTGTGTGGGTGAACTGGCCCGTTCAGCTTTCTTACAATTCTGCCTGTCCTTCCCTCACACACAGGGGCAAAAGTCAAATCCACCAATCAATACAAACAAATTGTTGTCGCCAAATGTGTGCATTAAAGGTTCCCTATTATACTGTTTTTCATCAATATATTATAGGTCTCAGATATACACAAAACATGTCTCTGAAGTGTTTGGCCTCTAAATACCAAACAGATCATGCATTGTAGCATCCCATAATCCCCTCTGTTTCAGGCCTCTTTTCAAAAGTGCTGATTCTCTGTCTGTTACTTTAGATGAATATAAGGAGCCACTCCCCACGCCCCTCTGATGCGGCTTTCACACCAGTGCTTTTCCCTTTCTAGCTTCGAGCTAGAGCTTTTCTGGTTCAGCTCCGGTTTCCCTTTTCTGCTCCCGCTTTGTTCACACCACTCAGAGCCGGGATGGTGCTGCCGCTGCTGCGTCATGACGTCATCATTTACATCGCTGATTTGCTCCCCAACGGTGCTCACAACAACAACAACAACAACGGGGGACTGCGTCGGGTCGATGATCGTGTTGCTTTTAATCATACGAAGCCAGATTAAATTAATTAACGACTTCTCCAACCTTATACTTTTCTCCAGAGTGCCATGGTTCATTGTTTATTAATGTGTTTCAGCGGCATTTACCGACCGCTGCAGTGCTGCTCTTCCACGGGAGTTTATTCTCCCGTTAGCTCACATGGCAGCGGCCGCTCTAAAGTATTCACTGTCTGACTGTCACACAAGCAGCTGATACATATCCCCAGTTCCCCTTAAGTGAATGTGTGTCAGTCTGAATTGACGCTGTTTGGCAACACAACGGTGTTATGAAAGTTTCTCTGGTATAACATGGGTGATGTTAGCATAGCAACCGAAGCTAAACTGACTACTTGCTAAGCCGTTTTCTACAGGCACATTTTACCGGCGTATTTTTCATTATGATTCTACTTGTGATAGTCGGACATGACAACCTGTGCAGCCCATGTATTGATTCCATCCGATAGCTGCTATAATAAAAAACAAAACGTCTGCCTGCTCTCCACAATGATCAATAACAGCGAACGGATGGTCAAAGTAAGGTACAAATAAACAGAATCACACGAAGCCTGGTTAGTGTTGCCTGACTTTATAAAGTGTGTTTTTTTTTTATAAGTGTGCCTTCTAGTCACTTTGCTCAGCGCTACTGCTTGTAGGCAGGCATGACGAGACTCTTCAGTCGACCCATGTTCAGGGGAGGTGGGTTTAGTTTCCTGCACGCCTAGACGTAAGAGAGACGTAAGCGACGCCGCCTCTTAGCTCCGGAGTCTTGCTTCTAGACCGAACATTTTTTGGAGCTGGAAACAAACTGGATTCCGGAGCTAAGAGGCGGCGCTGCTGCGGTGTGAACAGGAAAAACCGGTACTTTTCAGGCTCTAGCTCCGAGCCGGCGCTGAAAACGCGTTGGTGTGAAAGGGGCATGAGAGATATTTGGTTAAAAAGAACACAATGGTGCTCTAGGAGGAGATTCAGGTGATAAGGTGGGGGGGGGGGGGGTTACCTTGGTTGGTGATTGGCTAATGGTTACACAAGCCAAAACATCGTTATGACATCATAAAGTGGCCAAAATCTGATCAGCTCATTTTCAGACAAGTTTCTATATAAATGGATCAGGACAAAAAGTGAGCAAATCTTTTTTCCTGAAACTTTCAGAATCTCTTTACACAGAGGGGACACATGTTGATGTATAAAAGACATGAACAAGTGGATTTTGTATAATAGGTGACCTTTAATGCTAAAACATCCAATTCCTAAATGTTTTGACTCTTAATCTGTTCCCAAATGTTAAGGACAAAGGTAGTTACACAGGAGCGATGATGACACATGAATATAATTGATCACCTCTTTAAGTTCACACCACTTCACAAAGTTACTGCATTCACACGTTAGCCTGGAGAAAAAAAGAGATGCCTTGGATCCCGGTGAACCACTTCAGTCGAAGGCCTGTTCTGTCTTGTTTGTGTGCTTTGTCTATCTGGCAAACTGCACATCAGTCAGTCTACAGATGTGACCACAATGTTTAGATCCATCCAGAAAACCTAAAAATAACACATGCATGAGCTAAATATTGTTTAATGCCCTGTGCCCCCCAAAAAATAGAAGTGGAGTTAGAAGAGTCTTGCTTGCAGGTATACAGTATCGACACTATGATTAGGATAGCTTCTCTGATGGACAGTTTTTCACAGCAAAACAATCTCAGTTTATGAACATTATTTTTGTTCACTGCAGACTGGTTTTTCTTATTTGGAAAAGTGTAAATAAAGTGTGAGGAGTCCATTTCCATCAGCTGTTTACGACATGGTTTGCCAATGTTACAGTGACCTGACCCATAGGGCACACTGCCATCAGAGATATGTCTGGTCTTGTCTAGACCAAACAAAAATATCTGCTGCTTTGGTAATTACACCCTCTTGATGCTGGATTAAATACTTATTTAGCTGCTCTGTGAGAAAGGTATTGTACTGCAGTGTGTTACGTGATAACAAAAATACGTAGCAAATGTAGTTATATACTGTAAACAATACATCTGTTGTTTCTTAATATTATATTAGATCGTATGACAAATTACAAACTAGTCTAATGAAAGTATTAAGAAAATATGCTGTTAAGTAATACTGCCTGACCACATAGGGACAAAGAAATTGAAATGTAAAAGGAAAACAAATAATGATGGGATTTGTTGTCTACTTTCTAAGGCTTTGTGTTTCAGACCTCTGCTCTCACCTGCTGGACATTTTCAAAATTACAACTTCACATTTTTCTTTAGCTAAAATGTCTTATTTCCAACATTAGATCTACTGTACAAATAGCAGCTTTTTCGCAGAATGTTAAGACATTTTCTTTCTTCTTCAGGCGATCCACGCAGAGTTATCTAAACTGGTCAGAAGGCAGTCAGGAGGCAAGGATACTCAGGAATGGATATCTAAACCAGCAGCAATGCTTGGAGATAACATCACACCTTTCCTGATTCCTTCTAAGAAGAAGCCATCTGTGAGTTACAACACAAATATATCCTCAGTTTCATTCTGATTATAAAAACTACCTGGATGTTGACTGACCTTGTTGTTGTGTTTCAGGGAATTTCCTGGAAGTTTATACTCGGAGCTCTGGTTGTGGCCTTGGGCAGCTTAGTGACATCGTTGATTCTGACTGCAAGAAACTGACATCCTGCACACTTTGCACATGACGATGATGAAGTGGAGGATATTCAGTCCTCTTTCCTTTCAATTCATCTGAAAAAAGTGTATACTGTGATGACACGAAGAAGGTTTGCAACCCAAGTATTTATAGTAGGAAAATGTTTCACTAACAAATTGTACAGTAAATATGAAATGAAATATAGTTAAGTATTGAGAATATACCAGCAGAGATTTCTGCTTATATGAAATACAGAAGCTTTAAACAAGCAGCTTTTCAGTTGTTTCTGCTTTTATTTGGAAAAGGGAGTAGATTTCTGTATGGTTGAAGGCGTTGAAACTGCAATAATCTTGCTTACACTAATGCTTAATAAAATATTACGAATAATCAACTTTGTCTTCTTCTCTTGATTTCTCAAGAACCATGTTTGGTCTGAAATGGAAAATGGCATTCATTTAAAAATACTAAAAATATTTTTCATGTCTGACAAAACCTTAAACAACTACTTCACTTTCATTTCATTTGAGGTTTCAGTGATTTTATTTATTTACTTCATAAAAAGACTTTACTACTAAGTACATATACAATCTAAGAATATATAGCATGATTACATTTTATCATTTTTATTTTTACATGTGCAATTTTCCAACAATAGAAATCTTTATTTTGATCAGATAATGAATATTTATGAAAATATTATATTTAAGGCTTGTTTTCCTACATATTTTAAAGGTTAAAATATGTAGGAAAACTATGTTCTTCATCATAAAATAGAAATCACTTTATCATATCTACAGATAAGTCTACAGTCCACAGCAGGCGTTGAGCGATTTCTTCTGGCCGGATGGACTCAGTCTGACCTGAGAATCTGACTGCCGCCTCAGTGTGACATTTTTCTTCACCTCTCTGTGGGAATCAGAAACAAGTCAAAGTGTTGCCATGGTGTGTGAAGGGAAAGCTCAAACTCTCCATCTCTCTGGCCTCCTACCTGGCGAGATGAAGCACTGTCTCCACGACGTTGGTTCCCTCTTTGGCACTCGTCTCGCAGAACAGGGCGCCGTATGCCTGCAAGCAAAGCATCGACATACCTGACTGAAGGCAGTTTATTTAGACACCCGGAGGCTGGGTGTCTGTATACACACGGTTTAATCAGGTGGAATGAACAGCTACACACCTTGGCTAGCTTCTCTCCGTGAATACTGCTCACACAGCTCCCCTCTGGAAGCTGCTCTCTGAGGTCCACCTTGTTTCCAATAACACACATGGGGATTTTCTCCTCTGTTGAATCCTGTATTAAAACAAACAACATTGTTTAATATATTAGGTGGTGTCACTATTTGACTTTTCATGCAACATTTCCACTGTTACCTGAATCTGATCCACCCACTCTCTGACGTTCAGGAAGCTGCTTTCTGAGGTGACGTCGTAGAGGAGCAGGACTCCATGAGCTTTACGGAAATAAGACCTGGCAATACTACGAAACCTACAATCCAAAGAAACGCTGTTTTTACTCTTGTGTATTTTACCATCTTGAGTCATTAAAAGCAACAATTTGAATAGATAACACCATGTTTTTTTCCATTTGTAACTTCCTGATGATACCTCTCCTGCCCTGCTGTGTCCCAGATCTGCAGACTCGTCCTCTCTCCATCTACAAGCATCCTCTTAATTTGAAAATCAACTCCTGAGAACCAAAAAAGCAGTTTTACACATGTGAAATCAAGAATGAGTGTTGGATTACATGTGATGTCATTGCGGTGGCTCTTACCCAGCGTTGTCTGCATGTCTCCCCTGAACTCGTTGAGAGTCAGTCGCAGCAGGAAGCTGGACTTCCCCGCTCCTGCGTCTCCGGCTAACACCAGACGGTACATCGGAGCCGCGCCCACACCTTCTTCTTCTATGTCCGCTCCTATATGCTTCAGAATTACAACACAAGATAACAAGCTTGTCCAATTTAATGTGGAAAATCTCAGGTTTTAGTGATCATTTATAAAGAAAGCAGTAAGCATTTGGTTGGTTGATTGGGAATGTTTATTCTTCACCAAAGTAAGTGGCCTAGAAAAACAAGAACAATTAGCACTAAGCCTGATGATGATTAACTATTTTTGTAAACTTTCCTCTGCCATATTTCTATTTGTTTTTTCAATAAAAAGGCTAATTCTAATTTGTTGGGACTGTTAAACACAGAGGATAGATCACTCTTTTATTAAACCTAGCTTTGTTTTGGGTGTCACGACAAAAACCGCACTGTCAGAAGTGCAGAAAACGTGATATTTTAAACTACATTTATTCTATTTGAAATTGTGATAAAATACAAATCCCTGCATTAACACTAACTGGGAAGGAGGTTATTATGCATCAAAAAGCTGTACCTTTGTAGAAAATGCAGACAAACGTCTTCGTAGTGACGATGTGATAGAGTTTGCTTTGCTGGGAGCTACTGAAACTGTGGCTTCAGATTGCATTTCTGAAATCTGTAACAGAGAAAAGTAAATACTTATTTAAAAGTTGTCACAGTTTACCAGCATAACATGAGCCATTATTTAAATCTGACCTCCATATCAGACGGGACATAGGAGTAACTGTGGTGCACAGTCTCCACGGAGACCCTACTGTCGTCGCTGTCGTAATCGCTGCCCAAGCCCTCAGCCGTGTCCATGGGCAGCGACACTCCACTGTCCAGGTACTTATCCGCCCAGGTGGACACATGAGAGAAAGCCGTTTTGCTGGGATCCGGCTCCGAGCTGCACCAAAGCATCAACACACATGCTGGCTTTAGCTGTGACAATTTAATTCAGAGAGATCAATCGGCAGATCCACAGAACTTTATGTACCTGCTATGGTTGAGTGTGCTCTGTCGGAGGGGCTTCATCCTTCGGGCTGGGATTTCATTTTGGGGAGACAGCTGTTGAGCAGATTAGGAATGTCAGGGAGGAAACTTTTGTAGTGTATAACACTTGAACCAGTGAAAACTATTTATTGTCAGCCTCTATCTGATGTAAAGTCAGTGTATCAGAAAAACAGGACTCACCCTCCTTTTAGCTGCAACCGCCTCACTGGCCAACGCAGAGCGCAGCCCGTCGTTGCTGTCATACAGTTTTTTGTTTGTTGCCCTAATGATGTGTTCAAGAAAATACAACACAGTCACATACATGTACCATTTATTATCAGTTTTACAAAGGATTCTGCTTAGTTTTGGTATACGAAGCCTTCACAACAAGGATGGTTACTACAGTCAGGGTTCATACACTTTTTCACCAATGATTTTCAATGACTTTTCCATGACCTTTACCTAATTTTCCATGACCAAAATAAATTACTCTTTCTCAGCGGTACCACTGAAAATGGTTTATTTTAACATGGAACAGGAAAATAAGGTCTGAAACATGTTGTGCCTATCTAAAAACAAATCAAATAGTTGGCTTACTAGCTTCTACACGCGAAAGCAACTAAAATCTCTCACCAGCAAAATACCTCGACAGTTAAATGCTATTTTACGTTTCATTACTATACGATACAGTATTTATTATCATTATAGTATTACTATTTCAGCGATTAGATAAAATATAAATTATATTTGATGCAACTTTAGTTACATTTCCATGACTTTTCCAAAACTTTGGGAAAAATATTGTTTTCCATAACTTTTCCAGGGCCTGGAATTTTCATTTTGAATTTCCATGACTTTTCCAGGTTTTTAATGACCGTAGGAACCCTGTACAGTATAAACGTTTTATTGGAACTTTTTGGAAAGTGTTGACACCTTCCAAATCCCTGCATTCTTGATTACTGCACACAAAAAAAGCACTACCTAAATGTTCACACTAGACAGCATCATGAAGAGAAGAGCAGACTTACTGGAGAATCTGAATCTGATTGGCATATGACTGGTATTCTATAACCATCCTCTTCAATTCATCCGTTTCTCTGTAAAGAAAAAACACCACATGAACAAGATGTTGTACTGGATGATGGATGGTATATTGTGTAAACTGACGAGTTGAGTCGAGTTTAAAGACACCGCCTCACCTCCCATGTTGAGCTTTCTGGTCTGCGTACATGTTCTTCAGTTTGTCCATCTCTGAGTGCAGGACAGCGATGTTTGTCTGGGCTTGGAGGAGAGAGGCCCGCAGATCCTCGTTTTCCTGTGGGGAGATTTGATGAATAACTGGAACAATTCTACACTACATACATGTGACTCAACTAAAACAATCACAACAGAGAACTCACCTGTGAGAGATGAGTGACCCGTCTGTTCAGCCTGACCACCTCCTCCTTTGAACCGTTGGAATCAGAGTCCTCTAGGCTCTTCAGAATAGACATTTACACAAGAAGGCTGTTAAACAGTTTCAAATATTGATAAGCCAATGTGTTTTTAATAAAACAAAAAAGGATATGAACATTCCCTACTGCAGACCTGTATAATTAATATTGTGCCGCACAGTTATTGCGTTTACATTGTTTTATTTACTCTATGGTGTAGAGACAATAAGAGGGACTTCTTAAATAAAGACCACTGCCAAGCACAATTTTTAACTCACTTTGTAAAAGAAAGCATGTTTACTGTGAAAAATGCTTTTCAATTTGTGCTCTATGGTCAAATAAGACATAGCCAAGTCTTTTTTTAACCTGCCAAATGTTAGTCTTTGTTATTGGCAATCATGTATGAGACAGTGATGTTCCATTTTTACAAATAATATTATTGTAACTAGTGCAAGTTTTTAACATAAAACGAAAAGTGACACTTTAGGTGCAGGGCAAGAATGTAGTTTTATTTTTTAGCACAAACTATGGAATATAGCATGGCCTGCACTAGGGCTGTGCAATTAATCGTATTTTAATCTCGATTACGATTTTGGCTTGCAACGATTACGAAAACAACGTAATCGAAATAAAACAATTATTATTTTTATTTAAAAAAAGAAAAAAAATGTAATAATTTTAATTTTTTTTATTGGTTTTTCAGTTGAATTATACTTAAAGTTCAGGGTAATCAACTGTTAAAAACATACTGTTCACATTTTTTTTTTTTCAATAAATGGATGTTTTCAAAGTAAATGGATAATCGTTTTGAATAATCGTGATATCAATTATTGACCAAAATAATCGTGATTATGATTTTTGCCATCATCGCACAGCCCTAGCCTGCACTGCACCCCTAATTCATCAAAGTGACTCATTCTCTCACAATGGCTGAATAGTCTTTAAAACGTTGCCCTTTGAGAGTTTACCTAAACAATTAGAGAAAGTGTTTACGTGGATGTCTGTTGCAGCAGAAATTGAGCCCTTGATGCATATGCAAAGGTGTAGGGTTTGTTTTTCCCGGTACCCTGGCTTTCCTCTTCTTTTTTATGATCTTAGAGAACATAATCATCATCTTCATCAGTCTACTTCTTCTTACAAGGTAAATGCAGGTTGTGAGAAACGTACCTTTAACAGTCTGGCCACTGTTGCATGAAGGTCTGTGACCTCGTTCTTGTGCTTCCTCTGCAAATTCACCATTACTTCTTCCATTTTCTTATGCTCCTACAAACATGAAACCAAAGAAGTGAAGAGGCGCGGCCAGACTCAGGCCTTGAAGAGAAGCTTTCATCTGCATCACTGAGGCTCTTTGTGGAGAAACCTGTAACCTGCAGCTGTGTGCTACACCACAAATATGCAGGTAGAGAGAAATGTGCTCTCTGCTATAGAAAACTTTTTTCTGCCTATTTCTCAGCTTGCTTTTTATTGCTTAATTGCAGCTGCTTTTACGACAGCCACTTTATCTGATTTGATACATTTCCCTTTCTATAGACATGTAAGTGTAAATCACAGGAGCCATCATCCACTCTAATACTGCAGGTATCATACTTACATTGTCTCGTACTCTCTCCTCTGTTCTGGCAAGCTGCTGCTGAATATCTTCCTCCAGTTCTGTCAGCTGACTGTTGTTCATCTCTTCAGTTCTGTTTGAACAAAAAAGTATGTTCAATTTCGTTGGCAGCCTCACCGCTTCTAAATCAAAGCAGAATCTCCAACAGTGGTCCAAAATTCATTTGAAAATTCTACCTGACTGACTTGAACTTGCTGCCGTTGTGACTGTTCAGTCAGACAACTCACGTGTTTCTTAATATGTTTATTAGAAGCAGCGTATAGTTTGAGTTTGGCGTCTAGGCTCGGGCATCATCACTCCACAGATTTACAAAGAACATTGAGTGATGATTAAATAACTATCCCCCGAGCCTACAGGTGGAAGCTGGGGTGGAAGCTGGGGTGGTGGTGGGGCAGGCAAGCAGCAGCAACATGAAACACAGCAGCAGGAACATGAACGTAGCAATAGCAAGTGAACACAGCAGTGGCAGCAGCAGCATAAGCGAGGCAGAGGCAGGAAGACCTGGCAGCTTAAATAGAGCGGCATGTTTAGGAGAATGTGTTTGGTTGGTTGTAAGAGGGACGAGGTGCGTCACGTGTTAATGTCTGATTGGTGCTCGAGTTGACTGCCTGAACTAGCTCGCAAGCTTCGCCCCATCTGTGCTCTCGTCAGACAACACAATAACATACCAGTGGGGGGGGGGGGGTAATATTTATAAATAATACCCCATGTATAATGGCTTTAGTTTAGTATATTTTTTTGAAAAGGACAATATGTCAAACGTCTATTCATCACAACATAGTGGAAACATAGGTACAATAGATGGGGGTATCTAGTTTGTAAAATGACTAAAATAACAAGGCAGGCAGCACATTTAAGTCTTCCTTCTTCCTTGAATGAGGAATGTCACCTTTCTCATGCCCTGTAGTTACTGAACCACAGAAAGAGCTTAAACAAAAACAGCTTGTACAGAGTTTATTCCCGTGTGTAGGAGTGAAATTCAATAGTGGATTAAAGGTACTATGTGATAGGTCACTAACGTCTTTCTTTAAAACACAACCTATATTTAAAATAATTCTTAAGGTTCTTCAGCTTGAATAGCAGTAACCAAGTGTAAAAAATATTACATTGAAATTATAGTCAAGCATCTTTTTTCTGTGTCAAGGACACTGAAGTGACTTCAGTTCAATTTTCAAAGAAAAAATGTGTTTACTACAGAATTGAGTTTGTACAATGTGTCTTGAAAACGCTGTACAGTATCTAAGAACTTGACTTTGAATACAGTGAGAAACACATTGAAATCTATTTATCCAAAAGGTGGTACATTTTAAATTTGGGAGTTTCGTGGTTACTGCAGAAATATGGCACTACAACATGGCAGGAAGAAGACCCGCTCTATATGTCGATGTATACCAATATATTTATTATTACTATTATATTACATTTCTGCCATACATCCCATGATTACTACACACTAGTCGTTTAAATTAACCAGTTAATCCCAGTTGCTGCAGTGGAGGCAGTGCCTGGGGAATGAATAGTCTCTGTGGTTTACCGCCACAAGAGGGCAGCAGCTCTGAGGTGAAAACTAATCTACAGGAAGTTTTGCTGCATTGAGTACAATTATGATTCAATGAATTATGTGAAACTAAAAGTAAACTGTCCAACAAATTAACTTTTAACCATTTTTGCTCATACAGAAACATTAGCCACATAACACCACGTGTCCATCATCATAAACACCTTTGTAATGTGGCCAATTGTTTAAAAAAGTTTCATAATCATTTTCTTTCCATTTCCCCGGACACATGTTCTGAACTGCACTGACCCCACATTATGCTCACCGCTTCATACTGGTCTCCAGTTGTTCACACTCCAGTCTGTTCTCCAGGTTTAGACTGATCAGGGATTGAATTACTTCCTCATACTGCTGCAGAAGCGTTTTGTTTGCAGAGGAGTGAATGGTCTGGTAAAGATCCGCCAGCTGCTCCCTGAGACTGTGGGAGGAGGACAAACAGTTACTGTCAGCAATAAACGGGGCACTTACATTTCTACCCAAAATGTAGTTTCTATTATCAAATACTAACCAGAATACTTACCAACACCTGCCTTCAGTAAAATGTCAAAATTGTATCTAGAAGCAGCATTTATAGGCCTATTTTAGCAAAATGTAGAATTTAAATATTGTCAACTTTATCAGTAACAACATTTTATAAAACAAAACATATTATCATGTGTGCAACTCCTACACAGTATCACCATTAGCCTCACAGTATTGGGCTCAGCAACAGGTGGATGTACATAAAGCTCAGTAATTCCTTTACAGGCATAATTGTTAGTATATGACCTGAACAGCAGCAGAAAAACATACACTAATAAGCACAGTCTCTTGTCCACATGTATTAAGATCTGCTAAAACAACTGGAGAAAATGTGTCCCTCTCACATATGTTTGACTTGCAGATCTGTTGAATACCATTGTTATGAAAACACTTCCATACAGAAGTAATGCATGTAAGATATGTGGTTGATGATACAGTAGTAAGATGTTATGTTCTAAATACTAACCGTTTATAGTCAAAAGCTGTTCATATGGTTGTCAGAGTGTTTTATCTGTAGTTTTCCTTCTCCATAATGGCCACTTTGAAAGTAAGAATCCCACTTCGCATTTGCCAGTTGGATGCCAGCTATTATGTAACCATTAACATATAAAAAGGTACACCTTTATTCACTTAGTTAATTCAATGTGTATCTTTCAGTGGTGGAAGAAATATACACGTTTTGTTATATTCCATGGAATGCTCTTAACATCCCAATAGCAATGAATATCTTAAGTGCTTTGACAAAAAATCCATAAAAAAAATGTCATCTGAGGAAGCCGTAATACTGTAAAAAGCACAACCAATCATTTTAGCCGGCCCGGCTAAAATAACTGGATGGCCTACCTGCCTGTCAGCCTTCCATCTGTGCACAAACTTATCTCGTGCCCTCATTGGTCATGTGCGCGTTAAGTGCGCAAGTAAAAGTACTGTATTCAAAGTGTTACTCAAGTAAAAGTAAAAAAGTATTGGGATCCAACTATATTTAAAGCACTAAAAGTAAAAGTCCTTGTTATGCAGATTTGCCCATTTCAGAATCATATAACATGCAGTTTGATTATAATTATTGATACCATCATGTGTTTATCAAGATGGTAAAGGTGGAACTAAGGTCATATTTAAGTGTTGATCATATTGTTTATCAATAATTCATGTAACTCAGACCCGGCGCCAGAACAAATCTACAGGGAGGGCATATGACAAAACCGTCATGTGCCGCAGCCTGTATCGGCGCCAGAGATTTTCTTTTGGGGGTGCTGTGGGGTAGCTTGACGTTTCATAGAGGCTGCTCAAACATGTAGGGTTTCCCATTAAGGCACCGGGTGCTACAGTGGAATTTTCTACTGTAACACTCCCCACACGCAAATACACAGTGTACCCGCGACTGTTACAATGAAGGCTCAATAATCAGCTCACGGCATATAGGTGTAAGCAGGGGTAAAGTGCTATTTGTTTTTAGTGGGGGGTGGACCTAACCTCCTCTAGGGGGGTCCGGGGGCATGCTCCCCCGGGAAGATTTTTGTTTTAATATTGAAGTTAAAAGCATCAATCTGGTGCACTTTGAGAGCCAAATTAAGAGATCTATGGATACATCTCTCAACACCCATAGGCAGTGGCGGAGCTGGATTGGCTCTGATTGGCTGTTCACACTACCGCTGCCTGCTGGTAAGGACAGTTATTGCCACTCGTCGACTGAAGTATTAGCGGTGGGTTCGTAGGTGGGCGGCGTAGGTGGGCGGCGTAGGTGGGCGGCGCAGGCGATGTAGTTGATGTAAAAGTCGGGACGCCTTCAGTACGTGTTCTTTGGTCTCAGGTGGGTGTGTAGCGGCCTTAACATGTCTCAACAACTTACAAAGTCAGGCTTTCAACAAGAAAAGAAAGGAGAGAAAGAAAAGAGAGAGGGACTAAAGGGCGACAGTATGTCACCCAGTATTTCAAGAGAAAAGGTGAGTGTGGTCCATGAGTGGTGGAAATTAGTCTGTTAGCTAAAGCGTAGTCCATTGTAAATAATACTTTTTATGTTGTTTTTTTTACTAAGCTGACATTAAGTACTGTTAATATCTATATAGAAAATGCAGAGGTTTTTAATTTCACTGCTCTTTTAGCTGACATTTAACAAATGCAGGTAGATTTTTAGCAGCTATTCAAACTAAATCAGTTGTCCCTCTCCCCCTGGTGCCAGGACCAACAGATCCATCTCTAGGCTCAGCAGCCCTGTCCCCCCATAATGCTGAACCTGAACCAGCTTTTCTCCCAACTGAAGGAGGTGAGCAGCATTGTGTTGAATGCCACTTAACATATCTGAAGGGAGACTGGAATACAATATATATATATATATATAAAAAAAAAAAGCTAACATCTCATTTCAATTATACATTTCAAACACAGTATTTTCCCACATAAGTTATATTTATTTGGATTGATGCATTCGTGTTGAGAATGTTCCATTCAAAAATGTTATTATTAAAAAGGCATTTACACCATAAAAGATGACTATTGAGATCTATTGTCAGGAATGTTAGTCTTATATGTATGGCCAGAGGGCAGGACCTATAAACACATGTACTACCCAATAGCATTGTGAGGCTGAACAAAAGGACCTTTTGACTATGTAAATGTATCTTTTAAAAAAACAAAATATTTACTGACTTTTTTAGGATAGCTTAAAGTAATGTTGTAAAATTACAACCGGGGGCCTTACAGAGTTAAGGGCTATTGTTTATTGTTATTTACTTTAAGATGTTTATTCTTAACCAATAATTGATTTTAAAAACTCTTATTTAAATGATGTGTGTGTGTCTCTGTATTCCTGATGATACACTGAGAGAATGAGCTCATAGGGCTGCTGATCACCATAAGCTAAACAGTCTGTATATTGCACTACATTTGTATAATGTAAGCTTCATTGATACTTTGCCTGTGGGAATACGAAACAAATAGTTAGATATACTGAATATTATTTGATCTATTCCACCACTAGCTTAATCCAAAAATAATGTAGAGGTGTGTTGTAGTAGGTGCCTTAAATAACCCCTTATTTTATAGTGAGATGTATTTTTATGTTCATATAATAGTGATTTCAATGCCACCCCAAAATCACTGGTTCCATCCTGGCCACCCCACTGAAAATGTCCATGGCTCCGCCACTGCCCTAGGAAACAGAACTGTAAAGCGATTTTCTTTTTCTTTATGGATATTTTACAAATCTGTTTTTCATGTATTACTCTTATTACTATCTGACATCACATACATCGGAGCCTTAAAGTTCACAGTTTATTTATAATTTAAAAACATTTTTTTTTTTTTTTTAATTATTTTAAAATAAAATTATAAATAAAATAAAACGTGTTTATTGGGAGGGCAGGAATGTCAAATGGGAGGGCCTGGCCCTCCCAAGGCGCCGGATCTGCTACAGGTAGGCCTACTTCATAAATGAAGTGGAGCGTGAGTACAATATTTAACTCTGAATTGTAGTTGGGTCGAAGTACTAAAGTAGTATGCAATTAAAATACTCAAGTAAAGTACCTCAGAAGTGTACTTAAGTACCGTACTTGAGTAAATGTACATGTTACTTTACACCACTGGTATATGTTGTGTATGTGTGGCTTATGAGTTACAAGGCGCTTCCGACTTGATAACTTTGAAATAAACTATGTTTAAGTTAAAGGAAAGAGGGAAAACGTCCAGCAACAGGTTCCAGAGCAGTAAATGACACATCATTAGCCGCTGGCTACCAAATCCTAAAGGTAAACAGGAGCGGTCAGCCGGATGTGAGTTTACCTTTCGGGGAGAAGAGACTCCGCATCAACACTGCCGACAAACTCTTCCCTCGGACACGCTTGGTTTTGGAACGACCCAGCGCCAAAAGACGCCAGATCCAGAGTCTCAGAAACCTCTTGAAACCTGGAGGAAAACATGCTGTAGTCGATGTATCCGTCCTGGTCCCCACCGAACTTGTCGAACAAAGTTTGGATCTCAGTTTGGGACACGTTCAGCTCCCGGCAGACAACCGTGAAGTCCTCGTACTCTATCTTACCGGATTTGTTCACATCACAAGCAGAAAATAACCTATGAAGGCTGGGTGGGTCCATATTTAAATTGATAAAACACATACAAAGTATACAAATAGTTAAAATTAAACCCGGCTTCTTCCCACACGGACTCACTTCGGCTGCGTGCCAACACAATAAAAGCCTCCGTTAAATGTCGGAGGATCCTCTTATTGGTCCAATCTAAGTGTAGGCGGGTATTCCGAATAAAAGCACCCTGTGTGCCTCTTCCTACCTGGATTCTATCAGGTTTCTGCAGAAATATTATTTATTGGGCTTAATCCTGCTGTATGCCTGCTGTGTGGAGTAACTCTGTAATACAATAGAAACACAACACATACGCAAGTGCGTGTCTCTATTTACCTTTAAGGTGTGTGAATGAGAGTGTTATCAGAGATACTCCTCTTTGTTCCCTTTCCGTCTGAAGAATGTTTCTGACGCCACCCTAAGAGACTGAATCAGCAAAAAAAGACTATTAAAACTATGATTAAAACCTACAAAATGTTAACATTGTGGCAATATTCTTTTTTAATATTGTAAATGGACATTTCTGCTCCATACTACCTCTTTTGAATCAGCATAACTTTCCACTTTGAATATTGTATGTCATATTGTGTTACATTTTACTGTACTCATTTTCCTACACAACTATATTTTGTGTAAATATTGTCTTTATTTTTCATGTCTTACAATAGTCTTAGCTTTTAAAGTTTGTAATATATTTGTATTGGTACATACATATATATATATATACATATATATATATATATATATATATATATACTATATTCTTCTTGCTGTGCCTTTGTGTACACCACTTATAGCCTACCAAAGCAAATTCCTTGTATGTGTAAACCTACAAGTTAATACATCTGATTCTTTATATATGTAGATTAATCAAACTGATTCATCTGCATAAATAATGAGGAAATGTCATAGGGCCATATAATCCTGAGCCATTCAAATAAGAAAGTATCCATTTGAGCTTTATTTGAAAAATTAAAATAAAGTGCTTTTTATATACAATACAAAAAAGAAAAAAAAACAGTAGTGATGTATGATACAAAAAATACAATTCACAATATTTTTACATTGGCAGCTGAATTTACAAAACCATTTTACATAAAAACTCTTTTTACTTACATGTTGACAAGAGTCTGAGCCACTTGTACTCTCACTAATAGAAGGCCACACTATAGTGGTTCATTAGGAGAAAGCAGACAACTATACTTTCACTGTGGCATTTATAGTTTAGGCTTGTATTCAAATAAAAGCATGTTCAGTACCTGCACATATTTCACTAAATCACAGCCACTTTATATTTGTTCTGATGACAGACACTTCACCGAAAGCTGCCATTTCTTTGTCTTTAATAACAGTCAAAGCACAAATCTTTCATACTGCATGATTGATTATAGCCGACCAGTCTTTAAAATCCACTTAGAGTTATATCTGCAGTGCCATTTACAAGAAATGTAACATAATACTAATACCTACCTATAATTCAGTATTTTTTAAATCAGCCAGTGGTTATTCATGTGCTACAGTTTTAGAATAAAAATGTAGTCCCTGACTAAAGTTGAAGCCACTGTGAAATAAAAAACAAACAAACCTCATGACAGTATTAAATCACATGTATTCAATGTTTTATCTCTTTTTTCTGATCATGGCCAGTCCTGTCACACCTACAGTGTAGCATTTGACTCACAGCACTACTACCTGGTTAGTTTATTATCCCAAGAGGCACGTCTCTTGATTATTGTCTCAGAAGGCATTATCCGTTTCAGATTTGTTATCAAATCCATAACCTGCATTGTACTAAGGCTTTTCAACATCATGTGCAAATCCTCTGCATTTTGACTCGAGCAGTATGCCTTCCTGCATTTTGTGGAATTTTAATTTTGCTGCCCGCATTACAACACTAGAGCCAAACTCAAGTATCATATTGTATAAAAATGCTTTCAAGTTTTTCCGACATCTAGCTCACAAATTTGGTGGATCATATGGATTATAATTCATTATTTTGGATTAAGAAAATGGCTAATCAAGATAATTAAAAAGTACAATTCTACTAGGTGAAAATGAAAATGATTACTTTTATGTTTGCCTTTTAAACCATTTAAGCAAGCAGAGGGAGATTTCTTCCATTCATTAAATTCCATAAATGAATATGTGTATCAACTTGAGGCTATACAGATGTGTGTTATTTAAATCAGATTATGAATAGTTGTGATATTTAAATATGCTTTATTATTTCCCTTTAAGAATAGTGATAGATATTTGTAATATTAAAGAATGTCTATGAACATGTTCTCTCTTTCTTTAATAAAAAACATTTGACCAATCTTCTGCACTAAAATACACAAAAATGGCTAAAATCTCTTGCATACTTAGAGTTAGTGTGATGATGTGAGTGTGTGCCTGGGTGGGTGTGTGTGTTTGCAGTGCCACTGATCCTAAAGTAATGAACAGCGGCAACACCTTTGTGCTTACTCAGTCTCGAGGTGAGGTTTTCTTGGTGTTTCCCTCACTTCACATTATTTGCTTTGCATAGACTGCCTATCTCATGAACAGCATGAAAATACCTGGAATGAGATTTTTCCCTTTTTCACATTTGGTGAAAGAACCCCCTGCTGAAAGTCGAGCTTCCACAGAGGAATATTTGTATCCACTAATAATACAATACTTTACAATAAGAGCATAATGTGTCTTTATTTATGACTATATAATATTAATGTTTTTGGTGTGAAGTGATTGAGGTGGTAAGAGTGTCTACAATATTTCTATGAGGTGATTCCTTGTTTGTGTTTTCTTTCAGTTTTATATAAAATGGTGCTTTTTATCAAACTTTTCAGTCTATTAGTAAAACTCTCTTTTAATGTTTTCTCATTTTCTGTTATATTCAAGCCTTAAACAAGGAGTATACTTCTGTGAATGCACACTGACTTATTTATCTTTTTTCTTGCCTGCTACTGTATAGTTGGTGTATACTCTGGTGTGTGTTTACCTTGCTACGGTACAGTACATAGTGCATAGCCTCTGCAAAAGGTAGGCTTTTACCAAATGAGAATGAAAATATAACAGCAAAACTGTTAGCTGTTTGTTAGTGGGAACATTTCTGAATATCTCTGTACCTTCAAAGCATTACCAGTAGATAATCTGGACGGACTGTGGCAATGCTATGAAATCTAATCTGAATTATACTTGTGACGCCTCCGCCATGCTTATTACATTCCTGTGAGCTGTTTGTGAAAGCGTCAAAATCCTAAAGGCAAAATAGAACTTCTTCAGTGTGCTTCAAATGCACTTCAATAGGGGGAGTGACAGGAAAATCAAATGAACGTGGACCACAGGGACAGAACGGAAAAAAAAAGTGCAAAATCTGTGTAATGAAAAGTCTCTCCACGAAGAGTCCGATGATCCTCAGTTTCCCCTCGTACAGGGTTGTGTCTCTCTCAGCAAGTGCACTCTTTTCCTTAAGGTTTAAAATGAGTCTCTCCACACATCATGAAGCCCGCCTCACACTATAGAGTCTTTAATCTCAGAGCCCAGTCTGACTCGTGGTCGTGGGCAAGTTGGAGAAATCTCTACGTGGCTTTCTTTCAAGTTCAGAGGCCTCTTCTCTGACTCTGAGAAGCTCTTGCTGTTGTCGGGCGACGAGCACTCGTGCGGAGGAGTGCTGCAGATGTAGTTGTCATTGAGGGTCTGGTAGCCCTTGTGATCTGACGCTGACGGTGTGACTGCGTTTCCGTTTAGCGGCAAGTTCTCCGCCGGTTTCCCCACTATCCTGGGCTTCTTCTGCTGCAAGTTAGGGCACTCTCCCTCCTTGAGTATGGACTTCATGTGGTCGCGGTTCCTGTAGACGACAAACAGAGAGAAGACCACCAGGGAGAAGGCCAGGAGGGCACACACTACTATCAACTCATTCCAGTAGGTCTTGGTGTTGATCTGCGGGGAGTGGGCCTGTTCTGGCGGGATGATAAACTCCTGTGAGACCTGCGGCGTACGTGAGTGGCTTTTCAGGGTGGTGCTCTCCAGCTTGGCCTCGCCCCTCACACAGTAGTTTGCCAGCAACTGTCTGAAGCCTTCCTCCACTGACCAGCACTCGTAGGTTTCCTGCTTGTCAGCCTGAGCTACCACTACCAGCCCCCCCTCTGGGCTGGGGTAATGGAAGTGACCTGAGCTCTCACTGAACTCCCACTTCCTTTCAGCCAAATTAGAGCGCAGCTTGCAAGGGAGTACTTTGAACGTGTTGGCTGGGATAATGATCACCTGGCATGAAGACATTTCTGTGGGAAGGCACAGCAGAGACATAGATAGAGTCAGACATGGCATGTAATAAGCTGTACCGCCTTATTTTGAGCAGGATTCAGAATAATAAGTGTTTGACGCAATGAACACATTTGTAATCACGACTTAAATTGCAAGGCATAACAGAACAAATCCAGTGCACAGTGCTGCTCTGTAAATCTTTGACAGAGAAAAGGAGTTCACTTACTTGTAGGTGGAGGTTTAGCAGACCTTGGGCTTGGCGATGCCTTGTCGCAAATAGCTGATGTATCTGCATCGTCTATATCCTGCTGCCAGGCACTAAAACACATATATTTTTCATGAGAAACCATCCAAGAAGAAATAGATTGTCTTAAATTAATAAAAGTGTTTGTCAGATTATTGTGCAGAGGGGATGCATACCTGCTTGGTGGAGCCTGTCTAACATCTACACACTGCTTCCCGTTCCAGGCACAGTAAGGATCCCTGGAGAGGATGCACTCCCCACAACTCTGATAATTAGTGCAGTTAGCTACTGGGACCTCCACCAGTTCAGAGAAAGAGGAAACATAAAGCTGACCCTGTGGAGAAGAGATGACGAAGCAGGGAAGTCCCCAAATACAGATGGGTTACTAATTTCATCCAGACTCTTGCTTGTTTAATAGTTGCACAACGTAAAAGTTATTTATTTGCTTTAATGTGCTAATCCAAGCACAGAAACAAAGACAAGTCATGATTCAAGAAGTTCACAATTACAGCTGTTAAACGCCCAGCTGTTTGCAGATCCCCTGAGAGACATGCATGTAATTAGCTGAGCATGAGGTCTTCTTTAGGCTGTGACTCTTAGTGACAAATGGAATATTTAAACAGCCAATAAATGCATTTACAGAGCATGTTTTCAGTTCACACAGTGAGAAAGCTATGTGAAACAAACCGGTCTTATTTATTCTTCTCTCATCACTCCACTATACCTTTTCAGTGTCCAGCTCTATGTGTTGCACTGGTTGGGAATCACGGAAGAGCG